AGATAACCTGCCTGTGTCCCCAGGGAGAGCCGGAGAGCACAGGGCAGCCTGGAGTCACAGCTGTGAGGATGAGCAGCTCCTGCTCCAGTTCCATCGGCCCAGTTCCTGAGTTCCACAAGGCATCACATCTCAAGAGCTGACACACAGGCACTGGCCAGGGGACAGAGCACCCAGGGACACAACATGGGTGGTTTTTCTGCCACAGGAAACGTGCCACTGACACATTCTGGATGAGGTTTGGTCACCAGTGTCACATTCCCTTAGTGTAAACACACCTGAGCTCAGCCCACCTGGTTGGGTGGGCAGAAACGGGCATTTCCAGTTACCTTCTGTAGGTGTGGGAAAAGAAGAACTAAAGGAATAACATTACTGTGCCCATGTAGGGATGGGGTTATTCAAAGGTATTTCCCAGGAATATTCCTTTAAGACAGAAATGTACATTCTTAGAAAACAACTTGTATTTATTGACTGAGAAGAACACCAGCAGAGCAGACACTTGTGCAACACTGAACAACACAAATAAGCGCATTATAATCAAAAGGATTATATAAAAATTAAGGTACAAGCAGGACTGTAAGGCAAATTAAAACCCACAGCATCATTTTCCTTCCAGAGAAAATATAAGAGATATAAATAACATCCATACTTCTTGTCACACACCTTGTACATCTTGAGGTAGACAAAAGGTTTGTTTCCCTTAAAGCACAGCCCTTTTTTTTCAAGTGACATATTCTATTGTTGCAAATCAGCCTCCCAGTCTGACACAAGATGCCTGAGGGTGGAGATATGACTGGGGGTTGTTACTCCACTCATTTGTGGTTTTTGGCTTGCATGGCCCTTTTTGTTTATGTAATAAAGCCCTCTTGCCTCCAGCACTGCCCTGCCATGCCAGCACCAATGTTCCATGGATCCCTGGAACAGCCTCCAGGAATTACTGGTGTAGGATTATTACATGGGGCGACCTCCTGGTGTGTGATTCCTTCCCAGGCAGGTTCAGCACCTGGGGATGGTGGGGTCCAAAAACACCAGAAGTGGGACACAGCTCAGCAAAACTTTTTATAGAATCCTAGAATGGTGTAGGTTAGAAGGGACCTTAAAGTTCATCCAGGGCATGGGCAGGGACACCTTCCACTAGCCCAGGTTGCTCCAAGCCCCCTCCAACCTGACCTTGGACAGTTTTAGGGATGGGGCAGCCACAGCTTCTCTGGGCAACCTGTGCCAGGGCCTCCCCACCCTCCCAGGGAAGAATTCCTTCCCAATATCCCATCTAACCCTGCCTCTGGCAGTGGGAAGCCATTCCCTGTGTCCTGTCCCTGCAGGCCCTTGTAGAAGTGTGACTGATGGAGGATGGATGGATGGATGACGAATGGATGACAGATGGATGATAATGGATGGCTATTTCCCTCCTGCAGGGATCCATGACTACCAAGCCCAGCACCACAACACACCAGGAGAGGCAATAAAAGCTGGCCTAGGAGCTGCACAGAGGGACAGGGACCAGGACAAGGACAGGGACTGGCCTGCATATGCAGCATAGCCTTCGTGTGTGCCCCAGGCAGTTTGGAGTAATGGGGCTGTGGCTGTTCTCAGGTTATTTGGCTCTCAGGCACAGAGGAAAGGATTCAACCCAAACCAAGACACTCCACAGGACAGCATGTGCAGTTCAGATTTTTCCCATCAATAGTCACTGAGGTACATTTGCACTTGGAAAAGGGGGTTTTTTATGTTGTATAAACTTTCACCTTTGCTGCTGGAAAGATTCCCATGTAAAGACTCCAATGAGACCTCCTTGTATCTTCATTCCAGCAATTTGCACATGTAACCAAATCCCCTGGATTTGCCAGACATTGTGGGGTGTGCAGCACAATTAAAGAACTCCCATAGGACCTCATGGAGACCCAAGGTCTTCACAGCTCAGATCTCCAGGAGGTGGCAGAAGAGCTTTGCTAAAGATGATGCTTGGTCTTGGCTAGGAAGAAAATACAAATCAAGCTTAAGGATACCAACAGACCCAGGTTTTGCTCCCTGATCACACAGAGACTCCCACTGCTGTCAGTTGAAGTAAATCACATTTTGGAATATCATCCCAATTAACCTCAAGTTTGGGTGATAAAACAGCCCTGGACAACTGAATGAAAAAGCAAACAAGCAAAACCACCAAGGTATCTGCCTCAAGCAAACTCTGTCACTCCTTTATCCAGATCATTCCTAAACCCCTTAGTGCTGAAGGACACCAAAAGGACTGACACTAGTGTTGCCTCAAACCCAAAGTATGCTCCAGTCTTTTCCCCAGCCCTCAAATGGGGCATTTTAAATTCTTTATTTCCCATCAGTGTTCATTGTCTGGTTCCCAGACTGAGCAAGGCTGCGCTGCCTGGGGTAGAAATGAACTCTGAGTTAACCTGGCAGAGCAAAGCTGGGACCATCAGACATCCAGTCCAGACCTGGCTTAACAGCCAAATTTACTTCAGGCCAATGCCAAACCTCCATATTCCACAGAGCCCAAACCCACTCCAGGGGTACCAGAGAATGAACCATTCCTTAGATCTTCTCCATATTTCCCCTTCCTTAAGCAGCTCTGAGCCATGCAGGGCAAGGAGCTTCAGGCCCCAAAGTCCCCTTTGGCACATGAAGAAACTTGATTTTCCTCTGAAATATCTTTTCGCCCAGTTTTTATTCAGCAATTCCTGTTGAACTGCTCAAATGCAGCTTTGATAAAAGCAAGAGGGCAGAGTGGTGTCTCCTCCACTTGCTTCCCAAAGAATGGGATCCAGCTATGCTTCTCCCCCCTTCCAGTGAGTCCCAGTCCCTGTTTAAATGGGAAAGATCCATATAATGCCATGGGATCCCCAAATGGGATCCCTGTGGTGGGATATTCCCTTTCTCTCTGATGCTGGACAAGCCCAGAGGTCTGTGGGGCAGAGGGTTGGGGATCAGTAGTGTAGAGCAGAGTGGTCACTTCACCTATGATGCCAATTTTAGCTCATTTGGAAGCTTTTTCATTGAGTGCCCAACACTGAGACTCGTGGGAAGATTTCAACTCCAAAAGGATTAAAAGCAACATATGGTCTGCTCTTGGGTATTTAGGAGGTAAAAAAAATAAGGCTAATTAAGCCTATTTGCAGTATTATGTCTGTCATAAACACTTTAATTCAGTTCAAGTCAACTTGAGCCAGAAAGGGGATAAAAAGGATACCCTTTAAAAGACCTGTATCTGCAGAAAGGGAAGGTCTTGGTGGCCTCTGAACAGCTAGATCTGCTCTGAGACAGTTCTGTTCCAGCATCTGAGGGAGCAGAAATCAGAGTTGTAAAAAATAAAGGGGCAAACAATTCAAGGTGTGGCACACACTCCTCCCTGAGATGGGGCTGTTCCAATGGCTGTGAATGAACAGCTGAGTCCAGGAGATCCACACTCCAGAGCTGGAGCACACAGCTGGCATCTCACCACCTCCTAGGAGAACCCAATCCCGTGGAAAGCTCACCGAGGTCAGCCTCTGGATGAGCCCATCTAGACAACCCAAACCAGCACGTTCATCCATTCCCTTGCCAGTGAATCTGGATCTGAGCTCAAGGATTTCCACATTCCTTGCAGCACCACTCTGGCTGGTTTATCCCCATTGCCAAGACTGAGCACACACAGCAGCTTTGTTATCTCAGGGACAATCCAGAGCTCACAGCAGGAACACTCTGCTGTTGCTGCAGGATTAGCCAGGAAAACCCCTGGAGTAGGAAAATACACTGTCACAGAGCTGATCACCCAGAGAGGTTGTGCCACACACACTTACATTTACCTGGGGGCTAGATCAGGGGATGCCTCATTGCCATTCCCAAAACTGCTCTGTAAACCACAGCCAAAGAGACTAAATAGGCTGTTTCTATTGTGTTCAACTTAAATTCAACTAGGAAAACACGGCTTAAAGTCTATACAGACTGTAACAGACTGTGCTCTCTCCCCCAGGTCACCTTCTGCCATGGCAGATGCAGTGTGTGGATAGATCCAACTTCTCGGGGCAGGGATTGTCATCTCATGACTTGCAAATTCTTCAGATGCCCCAATTTCTGTGGTTCCTAATTCCCTTTCAGAACTTTTACCTGTCATTAGCACAGGGCAGGGCTGTGAGCACAGGGCAGAGAGTGGTGCACACAAGACAAGAAGGTGATTGATTGATTGATTGATTGATTGATTGACTGGGGAAGAGGGGGAAGAGAGATGTATAATTGGCACCACCACCCTGGATCCACCACCACAAAATACCCCCTGTGAGGCTGCAGAGGGGAAACTTCACAGCCCTCCTGTGGCACATCCACTGCCACAGAGGCAGTTCCCAGCTCCTGTGTACAGCAAAGTTAAAATGTGGTTAAAATGCCCTTGGAGTCAAATGTCCAAACTACAGACCTGGAAGATGATGGACACGATGTAAACTGGTACTTCTGAGGCACAATTCTTGCATCAAAATGAGGCTGTTCAGCAGCGTGTCTTTGAGTTCACAGCAGAAAGGATCCAACCAGCTCCCAGGAACAGCACTGGGAATCCCCTGCTGCCAGAGTCTTTTTGCCTTGGTGCAGGAACATGGCTGTCCCTGCTGCATCAGGATTCAGTCTCTGGTTTTACTGCCTCCTCAGTCCCTTAATTCTCTCCTCTCCAGGAACCAGGGCACAAGCCCTCAGTATCTTTACGTCACCACCCTAAAATAAGTGCACCTGAGGGATGGAGGAGGAAGATATTCCTGAAGAGTAAAAATTTTAACTCAAGAGAATATGTCACTGTTTCAGTGTTTCTGCTGTCCCACATCCCCCTCTTCTCCATTCCTCCTTCCTGATCTGACACCTGACAAAACCTCTGGTTTCCCCCGCTCCTGCAGGGGCTCTCTCCAGGCTGCAGGATGCCAACGCTGAGGACACAGGAGCACTGCACGTTTTTGGTGCTGGCCTTTGCCCTCGCCCCGCAGCAGAGAATGGTGTCTCTGTCTCCTGACAGCTCCTCTGACCTCATCCTGCCCCTACTGTTTGCAGCTGTACACCACCTCCTCCTGCATGCACTGCTGGCACTCCACATAGCAGCACCACTGCACCTGGCAGTGGCAGGAGAAGGTGACCAGCCTGCTCTGGGTGTTGTAGCCTCTCCCGCAGCACATGCTGTCGCAGTTGCCCTCCCTGGAGCAGGTCCTCCCCGCGGTGCCCAGCGAGTATTTGCTGGGGCGGCAGAAACTGGGCGAGTCCTCCACGTAGACGAGGTCGGTGGCGCGGGGGGCCGGGGGCAGCCGGGGGGAGTGCCCGTGCCGGGGGGGCCCAGCCAGCTCCGAGTGCCCCACGGCATCGTTGGTGGTGCTGAACACCTTGACGGCATCGTCATAGCGAAGCTTCAGCAGCCGCCCGATCTCATGGAAGGGCGAGAGCTGCTTCCAGCACGTCCGCACGGCGCAGGAGCCCGACACGCCGTGGCACTTGCATGTGGTTTTCAGGCCGTTCTTCACTGCCTGAGGAGGAGGAGAGGAGAATCATAGAGTCATAGAATCATAGAATCAAAGAATCATAAGATCAGCCGGGTTGGAAAGGACCTCTGAGATCATCAAGTCCAACCCTTGATCCAACACTGCCGTAGTTCCCAGACCATGGCACTGATGCCACATCCAGTCTCATTTTAAACACCTCCAGGGACGGAGAATCCACCACTTCCCTGGGCAGCCCATTCCAATGGCTGATTACCCTCTCTGTAAAGAATTTCTTTCTAATATCCAACCTAAACTTCCCCTGGCACAGCTGAAGACCCAGCCCTCTTGTCCTACTGCTGCTTCCTGGGAGAAGAGACTAACTCCCACCTGGCTACAGCCTCCAGTCAGGGAGTTGTAGAGAGTGAGGAGGTCTCCCCTGAGCCTCCTCTTCTCCAGGCTCAACACCCCCCAGCTCCCTCAGCCTCTCCTCACAGCACTTGTGCTCCAGTCCCTTCCCCAGCCTTGTTGCTCTTCTCTGGACCTGCTCCAGCCCCTCCATGTCCTTTCTGAACTGAGGGGCCCAGAACTGGACACAGCACTCCAGGGGTGGCCTCACCAGTGCTGAGTCCAGGGCAAGAATCACTTCCCTGCTCCTGCTGCCACACTTCCTGAGCCAGGCCAGGATCCATTGGCCTTCTTGGCCACCTGGGCACAGTCTGGCTCCTGTTCAGCTTCCTGTCAATCCACACTCCCAGGTCCCTCTCTACCTGGCTGCTCTCCAGCCACTCTGTCCCAGCCTGGAGCTACTGGGGGTTGTTGTGACCAAAGTGCAGGACCCGGCACTTGGCCTGGTTGAACCTCATCCCATTGGAATCAGCCCAACTCTCCAGCCTATCCAGAGCCCTCCTGCCTTCCAGCAGATCAACACTCCCCCCCAGCTTGGTGTCATCTGCAAATTTCACTCATCCAGATCATCGATAAAGATGTTAAACAGAACTGGGCCCAACACTGATCCTTGGGGACACTGCTGGTGACCAGATCCCAACTGGATGCAGCACCGTTCACCACCACTCTCTGGGCCTGGCCCTCCAACCAGTTCCTAACCCAGCACAGGGTGCCCCTGTCCAAGCCATGGGCTGCAGCTTTTCCAGGAGAATGCTACGGGAGATGGTAAAGTGGTGGACTTTATCTGAGTCTAGTTCTGAGCAGAGGCAGAACCTCAGAGCACAGACAGCCTGCAAGAACTTCAGTTTTATTGGTATTATTTCTATTTTATGAGGGAAAAAGTAATAGTAGTTTAAAAAAAAAAAACTAAGCAGAGGGATGGCTACAGAGTTGACTGGTGAGTCAGAGAGTGGAAAGCCCGAATGAGAACAAACAGCTGAATACCAAATAAGTTCTTGCTAAGCCTATTTGGCCCAGTAGGAGTAAAAAAACAAAAAAAATATCCAAAATAGTATCTTTAGCATGGTATATTCAAATGAAGACAGTGCTCTGATTGAACAATGAACTGGACTCAGGAAATGGGAAACAGTGATAAGCCAGTAGCCCGTAGAGGCCAAATATGGAGGCCAATAATGCCAACAGAGGCCAAAATGCTCAGTCTAATGGTCTCCCTGACCCAAACCTGTGACATGACGAGTTCCACAGCAAGTCACCACCAGATTCATAATTGACCTCAAGAGAGTCAGCCTTTACTCTGCCTTACACATCCCACCAGCTCTGAAGCTCTAGCTGTTCACAGAGCTCCCTGTGGCTGTGGCACAGCCCATGGAGTCACTCAGCTGCTGAATGTTACAGCTCTTCCTGGGCTGTGTGTTGCTGCCACGCAGCCCCTGGTACCACCAGAGGATACAGGATGCTCCTCTGCCTGTCAACATGCAGCTCCTCACACCAGAGTTCAGGAGACTTTCCAAGGAGTTCTCAGTGCCAGGACACACAGACAAACCGGTGTTATTTGTGAGCAGGGGCAGGGAATACCCCCCTCACAAACAGCCTCAGCTGGGGATGGGTTAGAAGACTTGAGGTCACTCCCACCCTGCCAGTGCGGGTCCTCACCTTGATGCCCACGTTGGTGTTGTGGATGTCCACCTTGGCCCGCAGGTCTTTGCCGATCCTCTTCTGCCCCAGGAACTTCTTGAGGAACTTGGTGCTGTACTTGAGGTTGTCCCCACAGACCCCCCACTGCCAGGCCTTGCGGTTCTCCAGCCCTGGGGAGTCGTCGCACGTGCAGCGCTCCATGCGCCCGGCGCTGCAGGCCCGCGCCAGCGAGTGCGTGAGTGCCGCCGAGGACACGGCGTACAGGAAGGCAGTCTCCTTGAAACCTGCATTGGGACAGGGTAGGAGCAGGGTAAGGTGTTCAGTCACCTCTACTGGCTCTCCTGACTGTCCATGGACTAAAACAAAGCACGACA